CATAAATAATTTTATGCCCTTTCTGCTGGTCTTGTTCAACTCTTGTTAGGAGGTCTGCAAAGGCATACTTGGTGAAACCAGGTTCCCCATTTTATTTGCTTATTGACCTACAGTGTTGTAGAGCAAGGTCAAAGGTTTTCTGATCAAAATAATATGCTTTAGAGGAATAGAACTGGAGGGTTAAGTCAAATGCTTTTAAGTTCCTCTAGCTAAACATTATTAAAATTGTTACTACCTTTCTTTATCAAAACTCTCATTATAATTTCTTTTGAAATTCCCTCAAAATTGGACTCTAACACCTCCTTACAGTTTGCAGAAATGAGATTATCAACACATGACAAATGTTCAACCTTTCTGTTTAGGTCTCATCCTTACAGTTTGCAGAAATGAGATTATCAACACATGACAAATGTTCAACCTTTCTGTTTAGGTCTCATCCTTACAGTTTGCAGAAATGAGGTTGTCAACACATAACAAATGTTCAACCTTTCTGTTTAGGTCTCATCCTTTGGATCTTAAGTGTTTTTTTTTATTCATAAATTTGTTTAATAGACAAGTCCAGCTTTCCCTTCAATTTTATTGGCAAATCAAACACAGCATAGGTATGTTTGTTGTCAGCAGCTTTTGTTGAGAAGTTTTCTGTTCCAAAAGTTTAATTACAAAATTAGTTGACATTATATCAAGCCTAACTAAAACATAGCATTATTACTCATGTTGTAGTAATTCTATTCAATATCTGCAAGTTCTGTCAGAACCTTTCATTAGTCTAGGTGATACATCACAACTTCATTGGTATGCTTAAAATGTAAAAACTTGTTATGAATTATGTTAACGTTCAACTTTATTTATAAGAAAAGGGGAGATTGAGTGAGAGGTAGTTTTCTCTTTATTTGCCATGAAGTTTATATAATTTATAATGGAAATTTTAAGATTAATTAATGTCTACTTCAGTATTGATAAACATGTTTAAATAATAAACATATAAAAAGTGACCCAATCCATTCGTATGTTTATTTTTTAACCATGTATTATTTAACACATTATGCTTTAAAATCATTTCATTTTTCAAGTTTGCACTCAATTAATAAATAGATTCATAAGCTGTTTTGTAGTGGTATCATTTTTTTTTCATTACCTGTTGATTCTTCAATATGGATTGATTAGTCATAAGGTCAGTGGTACGTCTATGAAACCACAATGAATATTATGGCGGTCGTATAGATTTTAAAATAATAATGATAAAGGTATTGTACAATGATAATAGTTTCATTTAAATTTTAAATGTTTGACCTGAATATGTGCAAAGTGATGATGACATGAAAACAATTTAGCTCCAATATCACATAACCACTATGAAACCACCTCCCTTCTAAAATGCCCTTGTACCAATGCTAAATCATAAATACTTATAAAAATAAAAACCATTTGAAGATATATCAGGAATATGAAGGTTGTTGGCACTGCATGTTTCTATAATCTTGTGCTCTGACCTGTCCTGTTAAAGCAGTCAGGAGTGAAGCGATCTGAGTATATTCAGATCCCAGACAGGGCCGGTGCCCTAGGCGAGCCCTTCAATGTACACCCCTGCCCAATAAGTTTTGATAAGGTAATGTAAGAACTCTATTACTATATTGTTTCTGCAACTTGAAAAACCATTGATAACATGTACATTTTCATCTTGTGGCTTCATATTTTCATTCATGTAAATATTTCCATATAATTATTATTGCAGAAAGTCAGTGAATAAAATATCAATAAAACACAAATGTATGTTAATATAATATGTATAATAATATCTTTGACAATTTATCTATTTTGAGGCATGAGAGAACTGTATTACCATACATCTGTAGTTACATATGAAACACAGATGGAATTACACTCAAGTTTCAGACTTTTTTGTCATTTTTAAGGAAATGCTTGTCTGCTGTGTATAGCACTTAACCTTCATAAGATGTTATTTAGGTTTACCTAAATTATGTTCACTATAATTATAAACTTACAATGAAATAATAAGAATGATTT